GTTGTACGCTAAAAGACCTGATTCTAAACTAACCGATGAACTGGACGCTGGTCTCCAACGGGTCGTGGTTTTCACACACCGTCCCACTACTTTAAGGGTCATGCCCAAGCTAACCAAAGAGTGCGGTTGGAGTCCACCTGCTTGGACCTGGGCAATTGTAGGAGTATCGCGTCTAGTTGGAAACCATAGAATTTCTTCTTTTCATAAATCCTATTGTACCGCGATTTATTTGGTACACAATCTGGACTCAGACTCGGCGATAGTAAACTGATTGAAGCGATTGTTCCTGACCCCTTGACGAGCTCTTCACTTCGATGCTCGAACGCTGCTACGACGCCCCATCGTAGTGACATACAGCTTCAATCTCGCTGAACTTAACACCATGTCTCTTCTAAGGTCATCTTATCTGTTATGCTACTCCTGAACGCATGTCCCCATAACTGATCAAATCATTCATGTGGCACCCACGCTTCACCATAACGTGATTCTGAGTTAACGGGCATAAAATCCCACTATCTTAACTTGTGACATCAATGCAAAACATCATCTTTATTCCGATCAGTCAGTATCGGTTAGCTGGTTAGATTGTGTGTCAACGTATCCCTGAACCGGATTTTTCCATGACTCATGATTGCACAGTGATCGACTCAGTCCCATTCATCATCTGTTCTACAACTCGGCATGTGTCACGCTCTGTCCGGTTTTGACATTAGGAATTGACCAGAACGTTTGCAAGTGATCATCTTCAACCTCACCGCTCCCTCCTTTCCTCTCATTTCTTTCTAGATTTCTTTATCCCCCGTACAATGAGGACAAAGTGTCCTGGGCAAGATGGCTTCTGTCGTCATCCGAACGCTCTGGTTGCAGCATCCTTTAGAACGAGAAAAAAAGAAAGACGAGAACAGAAAACATTTGATTTGATACTTTTCTCATCTCCATCCAAATATTCCGATTTGCTTTTTTTCCCCTTATAATTTCATATCAAGTTAACGGTTGATTCCTTTTAGAACCTGGTGACCCTCATTTGTCTCGTGAATTGTGTCGCATCGTGATTCCGTTCTCATTTTCATTCATCTCTTTCCTCACCGTGTGTGTGTGTGCGTGTGTATTATGAATTCGATTACCACTGAGAATCTTTTCTCTCGATCTCTCTCTCTCCGGTGCTTTGAAACGATACCAGACCGTGTTAAAATCGACTGATGATCGAATAAAAAACGTTTTATCCCATCTTATGAGTCTCCTGAGTGTGGACCATCGGTGTGCGTGTGTGACCTGTTGTTGATCGCTGTCTTCTATTCGGCTCTNTTGTGGTACCAGATCGTAATCTCTATCTCCATTTGGTCGTATCCACTCCGCTCTTCACATTGGTACGTTCTAAAATTTTTGTAGGCGTACAATCTCGTCTTGTGCCAGTACCCATGTGATATGACGTGTCATGTCCATAGATTCCCCTATTCGGCACATATTTATTAGTTGTATGTGTTGTGTTTGGTCTAAGTGTACGAATGACACGAGCGACTCTTGCTAAACCCCCAACGACAACGCGGAGAGAG